GGGGGGGGGGGGGGGGGGAGCCGAGACTCGCTCTTGTTTTCATGGCGGTGGGGGGAGGAAGTATCGCTTTTTGTTCAAGAGTAAGTTATACTTCGAACCAGTTCGGCGGCATTGCGGAATCCACAAAAGGGATAACCTAGTGAGTCATGCACGTCTGACAAACCAGAGTGATGACTGTGCGGACGGCCGTAACACGACGGGGAATAAAAGTAATCACACTCGTATGAATTGGGAAATGACCGGTCCAGACATCATCGCTGTGCTTTTGCCAGCTTCACTAATCTTTCGCCCTGGGAAAAGCACGTGCAGGAGAAAGTTGCGCCGCACAGAGGCGGGACTTGAGACGGTTTGCTCTCCTGTCGATTTCAGGAGCGGTAGGAATTGCGAGTGTCCGGAGAGCTGCGCTCTCGCCCGGCGCCCGCGGTCCTCTTCAGCGGCGGCTGCTCTTCGGTCCGTCGCGCTCCTTGTCCGAAAAAACTGGCTGAGCTACTTGAGACGCGCTGGGACTAGCTCAGCGTCTCCTTCGGTCCTCTGCCGCACTGGCACAGGAGGACAAAGTAACCGAAAGGGCAAACAAAACCTGCAGGCTAGTTAAAGGATCTGATATAATGAACCGGTCAGACCGTGGATTCCCTTCGAAAGAAGGCGGACTTCGCAGCATCAAGACGCTGTTTCCATACTGCAGCGCATACATTTCCAGACCCGGACCTGCGATTGCATGGCAAGGATCCAAACCCATTTAAAGCACAAACGCATATTTTTATGGTCGTTAAATTAACCACTGGTTCCTTACTGATCACTCCTCCATTAGCTAGAAATTGCAGAGGGTTTCATTCAAATTTCTCAGATACATTCAACCCCCCTTTGAAAATATGCATTGGGAGAGGGGGGTCTTAGATGTTAACGCTGAGAAAAGGAATTCTCTAGGCCATGCCCAGAGAAAGAAGTATGGAGGGCCTGTCGACCAACTGCTAGGAGCGACAAAGGAACCAGCGAAAGGGTGGTGGATTGGCTGAACCTTTTAGGCCAGGATCGCTCAGATCGGATTCAGATGTGCTGCTCTCCCACCCTTTGCAGGCTTAGATCAGAAGAAGGTTTGTGCTGTCACATCCATGATCAAGCTGTGCCTACTAAACCAAAGATCCTGAAAGCAGAAATCTTGCAAGCTCATGTGTATTCTGTTCTGCTAATTATTTAAGTAATAGTCTTACTTAAAGAACAACATGCCAGGCAAATCACAGAGAAACTGAAAAGGGACATGAACCAAG